CTTCATGGAGGTAATTTTTTTCCGCCTTAAGATTGGGATACACAATAACGTTTATCGTGGATAATATACACTTATCTTATAATTAGGCTCATCAATTGATAATACGATTTTTTTTATTATTGTTATGAGTTAGTCACACATATAAGATCTTCCATAAAATTTTATCATTAAACTACATTTGAACGAAAATTAACATCTATCCATACATGTATTATAGTAAAATCATCATTAAAATGGTTCATTTGCTACCACGTGACATACATAACAAGTCATGAACAATTTTTATTTTATGTTAATTAATTTTCTTTTCTTTTTATTTAAATTTCATAAATCAACTTAGTTATTATTGAACTATGGTATTCACGAATTTAATTAATTGTGGATTAATGTACTTAATGTTTAATATCATTTAAATTTAATATTTTAAATCAATATTCATATTTATTAAATAATATAAATATAAATGAATCAATTCTATATTATTCTTATCAATATATACTCATTTGACGTAGTCATTACTTTAATTATGATTGTATTTTTTATATGTTTAAAAGTTTTATTTCATTTTGATCTTTTATTTATGTTTTAATACTTTGTAAAATTATAAGTTTTTGGTTCTCAATCATTAGAAATTAAGTTTTTACTTTTAGTTTATGAATCAAGAATTTATTCACATTAGGCATTATTTTGTATTCCTTTTTTACAAATCTTTTTCATTGAAAATTTCAAGTTACTCTTTTGAGAAAATATTTATTATTTGTTCATACTAATGACAAAGTTTTTGTACATTTTTATCAAGTATCTACTCTAAAATAACTTTTGCCAAGTAAAAGATGACTCATGGGCAACAATCTAGTGAATTATAATGTTTATCATTCATAATTTTTTGCAACGTAGCGCACAATTAATAATGTTCATAGTGGAATATGCAAATATTTTAAGACACACATTAATTAATCAATGCACTTTTTCTATTACAAGCTAGGTGAAAATGTATAAGATCTTTTGTCCAAATTGTACATGATAATTTTTAATCATTGTAAAATGTGCCATACAATATGTTTATCATGGATAATATATATGCGCGTATTTTAACATATGTTCGATAATTAATTATGTGTACTTTACTTTTTAGAGTTATATGAAAATAGATGAGATGTTAGATAGATTTGATTACTAAAATACATTTGAATTATTAAAATTAGCATGTTTATCTTTCTCTTGAGCGTAGTAGTTTCTTATCACTCTAAAACATGGTATATAATAATATTTATGGTGAATAATACGCGTTTGTCTTAGAAGATTAACGGAATGATTATGAATTAAGTAGATAAATGAGATTCTTAATAAAATTTAATTATTAAAGAATACACCTAAATGATAGTTAGTATGTTTATCTCTCTGTCGCACTTGACATATAATAATATTCATTGTGAATAATGCACACTTATCTTAGAAGATTGATGGAATGATTATAAATTAGATAGATAGATGAGATTTTTAATAAAATTTATCATTAAAGAATACACATGAATGAGAGTTAGTATGTTATCTTTCTGTCGCATGTATATGCCATAAAATTATATTAACAGTACTATTTTTCTTAGAAAATTGATGGGTTGAGCTATATATTTTTATTATAAATTAGGTAAATAGCTATATATCTCTCCCTTAAACGTAGCAATTCCTCATCAATCTAAAGCATGGCATATAATAATTTGTATCGTGAATGATATGTGTTTATCTTAGAAGATTGGTGAAATGAATAGAATTATGTAAACATATGAGATTCTTGATAAAATTTGATCATTAAAGAATACAACTGAATGACAGTTAATATGTTCATCTCTCTCTCGTGTGTAGCATATAATAATATTTGTTCTGAATAATACACGCTTCTCTTAGAAGATAGATGGAATGATTATGAATTAGCTAGACAAATGAGATTCTTAATAAAATTTGATCATTAAAGAATACACTTGAATGATAATTAGTATGTTTAATTTTTTGTCGCACGTAATAATTTTTTACTATGATAAAATATGCCATTAAATTATATTAATAGTACTATTTTTGCTTAGAAAATTGATGGATTGAGTTATATATTTTTATTATAAATTTGGTAAATAGCTATATATCTCTCCATTGAGCGTAGCAATTCCTCATCAATCTAAAACATGACATAATAATTTTCATCATGAATAATATGCATTTGTTTTAGAAGATTGATGTAATGATTATGAATTAAGTAGACAAATAAGATTCTTAATCAAATTTGATCATTAAAGAAAACACCTAAATGACAACTAGCATGTTTATCTCTATCACACGTAATAATTTTTTACTCCAATAAAATATGCCATAAAATTATATTAATAGTATTATTTTTTTTTAGAAAATTAATGAATTGAGTTATATATTTTTATTATAAATTAGGTAAATAGCTAAAATTTTCTATCAGATATGATTTGAATAAAAAGTAAGTGTATTTCTCTTCTACCAATTGTAATTTCTTACTACCATGAATGAAAGAGATGTTTAAAGGTTAATTAATGCTTAGTAAAAATTCAAATCATTTGAAAACACAATTGTCTTTCATGTCAATCCAAATAAATTACAATAATAAACATGAATAATGGTGAATTGTCTTACCATAGTGAGTAACAAATTGAATTCTCTTACCAACCCTCATTTATTTTTAGAATCCTGATTTGTTGACCTGTAATGTGTTATTCTCTAAATCTCCAAAGTAGCCATGAAATACATGTTTCCCCACTTAGCCATTCCATAGTTTGTCTCATCTCCCTCACTATATAAAGACCTAATTAGCTACTCCTTTTAAGCAAACCCAAATTCTCTTTTTCGACTCATTTAAGAAATATATATATAAAGTTTAAGATTACGAGATCACTTGCATGCCAAGCAACAACTATAACCATGACAAGAAAGAAGGTGAAACTAGCATGGATGGTCGATAACAATGATAGAAGAGCCAGCTTTAAGAAAAAAAAGTTAGGCTTGTTGAAAAAAGTTAGTGAGCTGATCACACTATGTGGTGTTAAAGTGTTGTCATATATAGCCTTGACGAAAACGAGCCAGTGATGTGACCATCACACTTTGAATTGTAACGGTTACTTTTAAAGTTCAATAAAATGCCCCTTTTTCGGTGTTAAGAATAGTGACTTAAATCTCATAACAGATTTATTTGAGATTGGTTATATATTATTTAATGGACAATAAAATTTACAAAAAAAGAATTCTAAGAAAAAATAAATTTTTAATTAGCAAATTTAACTTACCGAAGAATAATTCTAAAAGAAAAAAAATTTTTAATAGGAAGGTTTCTATAATTATAAATAATTGAAGTCTCTGCAGGGTTAGATATGAGAAAAAAATATAAAAAAATTACAAAATTTTATGAGATAGACACCACATAAGATTACTAAAGATTTAGATCTTATGGATGTATATGTTTGTATATTTATAAATGGACTAGAAGAGACTGAGAGGGTCTACTAGGTATAATGCATTGGTGCATATGGGTATGTATTTGTTTATGTTGAAAGGGTGTACATAGGTATTTGTTTATTTAGGTTAAGAATACTTCATAGAACTAAAGAGATTGAGAGAGTTTATGGGTATTGATTATTGAGTGGTTGATTTGATTTGATGTATATTGTAATTCTTTACAACTAATAGATCTTTTTTTCATCCGTAGACATAGATCGATAAGATCGAACCATATTAAATTGTTCTCTCTTGTGTGATTAATTGATTATTTGATTTCATTTTCGTTGGTGTAATTGGATTAGGGCTATTTTACCAAACAAGTGATATCAGAGCTATAGTGATCCCTAAAAAATGATATCAGAGCTGAATGTTTAAGACATGGGAACAGCTAAAGGATTGAGCCATAGGAAAAGGTAAGTCCAAAAGAGCTAGACTCAATAAAGAAGTTGAAATTTATGTTTTGAAGATTGGTTTACATGAAGCAAGAAGACACATAAAAGAAGATGATTGTAAGTGAAACTAAGTATATCTGGCATGAAAATAGATGATTTAATGAAATTTGAGTCAAAGTGAAGATTGTTAGGAATAGTGATTTAAATTTCATAACAGATTTATTTAGAATTGATTAGTATTGCTTGATGGATAAAAAAACTTGCAGAAATAAAATTCTAAGAGAAAATGGATTCTTAATCAGCAAGTTTGACTTACAAAAAAAAATTTTAAGAGAAAAAAGATTCTTAGTAGGCAAGTTTGTATGATTATAAATAGGTGAAGTCTTTGTAGGGTTAGGAATAAGAAAAAAATATAAGAGAGTTGTAGAATTTTATAGGATGGACATCCCATAAGACTACTAGAGATTTATGTCTTATAGGTGTACATGTTTGTATGTTTGTGAGTCGACTAGAAGAGATTAAAAGGGTCTACATAGATATGTTGCATATGAGTGAGGAGACTAAGAAAGTCCACATAAGTATGATGCATGGATACATATGGGTATTTGTTTGTTTGTGTTGAAAGTGTGAACATAGGTATGTGTTTGTTTGGGTTGAGAATACTCCATAGAATTAGAAGAGATTGAGAAATTCTACTAGTATTGATTGTTGAGTGGTTGATTTGATTTAATGTATGTTTGTAATTCTCTACAACTAATAGATTCTTTTTTCATCTATAAACATAGGTTGATTAGATCAAATCACATTAAATTATTATCTCTTATGTGATTGATTGATTGATTAGTTAATTTTAATTCTGTTGGTATAATTGTATTAGGGCTATTTGACCAAACACTTAAAGTGGTTGAAGAAAATGATGAACCAAGAAACTTACCTTAAAGAGAGGGTTACCAAGGCGCAAGAACATTGAAGAAGTACCAAAGAAGAAACAAAGAGGTTGAGATAGGCCATGTCAAGCATCAAATCAATCAAGGCAAAGGGCTTGATGAACCTAAGATCAGTGAACTGCATGGACTTACTTGGTTAGTGGAAGAGAAGATGAAGGAGATACGAAAACATATGGAATTCTTTATACAAGTTGCTTTTGCACAGGCAGGCCCCTCTCATGGAGATCTTCCTCTTCCTCCCCAAGGCCCTGAAGACGACCTAACGGCCAGAATTGGTAGTACTGCCAGTGCTGGCATTGGAGGAGATCAAGGGAGGACTCTCACTGAGTCTTTGCTGCGGGATCACTGGTTCATCGATATGATGAACAACAATGAATTGAAGTCTGGACCTAGCAGCTGCAGCATGATCATGAATGATATGGGCTTACCATATTACCTATTTGCTGGTAGTGAAGCTGATGACCTGGGGCTGCCAAGTACAGCTGTAATGGGACTGCCCCCATATGGGAATATCAGATGTCCTACCACTGATATGGGGATGCCTCCTCTGAGTTTTAGATCCAATGGTGCTGCAAGTGAAATGGGGCTGCCCTATGGGAGTGTTAGAGACAGCAGTTTTGTCCCTTTCGGGTGTGATATAGGGCTGGGACTGCATCCTTTCAGCGGACACATAGGCAGCAGTTTCGCGAGGAGCAGGGACTGATGAACATAGTCGTCAGAGGGGGTAGCTGCCCCCACTAAGTCCTTCAATTTTTTTAGGTTTATTGAAAAAATATCTTAAAAGTTTTGAAAATTTAAAATTTTGCTTCCACTAAAAATATTTTTATTAAATTTACCCCCACTAAATTGAGACTCGTACAAAAAATATTTTATTATTTATCTAGTAATTGAACATTGATTTTTTAGATGCTAAACAATTTCTTTATAATATATATTTATATATATATGTTTGTAAAAAAAAAACTAAATTACTTTTAAAGAGTTTGAAATTATTAAATTTTAAATTTCTCTTAATAATTTATTTAAATTGATATGAAGTGATTTTATAAAAGTAACGAAACTTTAAGCTTATACTGCTTAAATAGTTTTAACTATTTATTTAATACAAAAAATGTAACATATAAAATGTGAAGTAATAAAAATTAAAATAATCATTTAGATTTATATCTTCATTTTTCTTTTCATTGTATGTAAGAAATGAGATATTTTTATTCTTCAAATTATAATGAATAAAAAATAAAATATTTGTTTATTTGAATTAAATGATAAAAGTAGACAAATTAAAAATGAATAATAAAACTAACTATGTTAATTTTTACATTATTATTTTACATATTATATTTAATTTAAAAAATTATAAGTAAAATTTTATTCAATTAGTATACGTGTTTTTATATTGAAAATTGATTTATTTAATATATCAGTTATATTTGTTAAGAGTCGTATAATTAATTTTAGGACAAATATTTTCGTATATAGCAAATATGTTATATACCTTGATTTTATTTATAATTTTTTATATTAATTTATATTTTAATAAAAAATTTAAATTAATTTAAAATATTTACCCTTACTAACTGCAAATTCGGGATCCGTTCATGACCAAGAGTGAGTTTAGTTGGGGGCTGCACCTCGAACTTTCCGGAGCGACAGCAGCGGTGGCACTGGCAGTGATATGGGACTGTCATTTGACGGGAAAACCTGGCCAAAAGATTGATGTCTTACATTGAATTTAATTTCTTTGTTGCTCAAAGTTGTCTCATGTTTATCCACAGCAAGTCGTTATTTTCGTGAAAGTATATGTCTGATCTAAACACAATATTCTTTCCTTTTCTTTTATATAAAGTATGTATATTCTATAAACACCGTCAAAAGAATTGGACTTACACATATGGCAGCAACAGTAGTGAAACTTTTATTTTGCAGTAAAAATGTAAACCAACAAAGCTTTAAGCAAATTCCATTCTCACCGCACCCAAAAATACCATAGCAATGTGAAAGAATTGGGGAAAAGCACTGAGCTTCTCTTTTTTCCACATGGAATTCCTAAACAACTCTGTGATTATCCATTTTTTACCACCCATAAAGTGTTAACCGCATAATATTTTCTGAGTTGAATGGGAAATCTGCTGCTCAATAAATTCTCTTCAAAGTAAAAAAAATAAATAAATAAATTTAAGATTTAAAATTTTAAATTTTAAATTTTAAAAATTAAAAAAAAAAAACCGAGGATGAATAAAAATATTCAACTCTGTCCTGTCAATTTTGTTGATTAGAAAAGCAAACCGCGCGATGATAGGAAAGTGGATGCAGCATCGCTCTATTAATCGGCTGTGTATCTTTCATCAAATATTTAATAGATTCCAGAAGGTTGCTCTGAGAGATGACTGAAGAGAAAACGCGCGACCCGAAAGAAAATTTGGTCGTACTACATCCATGTTAACGTATAGAGAAAAGAAACTGTTAGGGCTACTTTTGAGTCCAATGACAATTTGATTCTTTCTCTCGTTAGGAACTGTTAATGAATTTTTAAAGACATTTTTTATTTTTGGACTGACTTATATATTTAATACCATATCAACTCAATTACTGCATTATTTTACCTCATAAAATTTTCTTCTTTAACCTATAAATAGAATCATATAGATATTATATATTGGATCTACTTTCTTCTATTTTCTCTATTTTTCACTCTATTTCCAATTTTTCATATTTAACTTCTGATTTGAGTATAGAATGTAAACTGTAAACGCAAAAAATATTTTTTACCTCCACCTTTAACTGTTCTCTTTCTGTGTTGTAATTTCAGAATTTTGACCTGAAGCTCAAAGTTCGGTCCGACACAAACCATATGAAAAAAAGGCAACAATTCAATTGGTAATAGCCTACACTTGGACTTACATCAACTTCACTGCACTCCGAAAAGCACACGGGAGCTCGCGCTAGTGAAAGAATGGCAATAGCCAGCTATGACCAGAAGTCCACGTCATGCTTACTAATAATAAAATAATAGTAATAACGATGGAGAAGGGGAAAACAAACATAAATCAGAAAATCACGCCAGAGACGGGCGCGAAACAAGAACCGCGCGACAAACCAACGGAGAACCAATTGAACCTTGCGCACTTTTGAGTTTTGATTAAGTTTCCTTTCTATATGTATATCCCTACACTTTGGAAATAATGGAGTGTTGCGATCCACCAGGAAACAAAATCTCATTCTCGCTACCACAATAGCGCCTGTTTCAAACCATCTTTTTCTATATATATGGCAGCATTTGCTACATCTCAGCTTAAAGCAGAAGCCTTGTAGTCTACGATTGCTTTGCTACTCCTGATTTAGAAATGGTAATGTTTTCGAAGATACTCAGTGAGACAGATATTAAGAGGAGATGTGCCGTCCCAATGAAGTACTTCAAAATGGAAGGCTTCCCAAGGCCAGAATTGGAAGGCAATCATCAGGTGGATTTTGTTGTCAAAGATGAGGACGGCCATGATTGGACCCTTTGCTGCTCTAAACGTAGGATCGGAAAGCACCCAAAGCCTGCTCTCATCAAGGGATGGATTAAATTTGCTCGCAGTAAGAAGCTTCGTGAGCGTGACAGAGTGACCATCTATAAGGAGCAAGATGAAACAGGTTTTATGCAGCTTAAGATTAGAGTGGAGAAACAAACCAGCCCTTCTGAAGCTCGTTGGTCTCCTGTTATGACCAACAATGACAATGAATCAACAGCAACCTTCCAGTGTTTTGGGGATCTTTCAGCAGATGTTCTGAGCCGTGACCAAGGTGGAACCACTGCTGCAACAACCTCCAGCATTCACAATGAACAAATACCAACCCCGGACAACACTTCTCAAGATATAGCATGCCACAAGACAGTAAGGCCTAGTCTGAGCTTGAGTTTGGATTTGGCTCTGAAACCAACCATGACAGGGGGAACGACTGCTGCAACTAGCTCCAGCGTTGACAAGGAGCATACACCAACCTTCCACTGTACTTTTCAAGATATAGCATGCTCCAAGACTGAACCCAGTCTGAGCTTGAGTTTGGGGTTGACTCTGACACCAACCATGACAGGCCAACGTCATGCTTACATGCAAGAGACAGAACCCAAAACCAGAGACTTCTTAAGGAGCTTTTCATAGGGCTTGAAAGCAAGGTAGGAAGTTACAAGACTGAAGAGAAAGGACAACCAAGCTTTAGTGAAGCGAAATGAATGAGTGCTTATGTTTAAGTTCCCTTTTTCTCTTAGGATGTAAAATATTACTTGTGCCATATATTCTCATGGGATGTAAAATACTACTAGTGCTTATGTTCTCCTAGAATGTAAAATACTACTTGTGTTTGTGTTCTCCCAGAATGTAAACTACTACTAATTTTAATTTTGTTTGAAAATGGATGTGGAAGCCTTAGTGAAGTGAGATGAATGAGTGCTTATGTTAAGTTCCCTCTTGTTCCCTTTTCTTGCAGTGCTTGTTTTCTCCTGGGATGTAAAATACTACTAGTGCTTTTTTTCTCCTGGGATGTAAAATACTACTGCTAATTTTGTCTGAAAATGTTCTGTTACTGATTTTATCTGGTTATTCTTTTGGTGTGATTGATTATGATGAAATGCATTTTGCTAGTTTTGATTTGTTTTACAATCCTAGGGTGGACTGACGAATGTTATTAGGAAGGGTTAACACTAACTTTAAATTGAGGAAATGAAGTTTAAATAGTTTCCAATTAAGTAGGTCTTAAATAAAAAAAAATTTTAAAAAATGGTAAACTATAGGAGTAAATGATAATCGAGCATTGGCGAGAATTCGATATCAAGATGTACCACAAAGTGAGTGGTTTTGATACGATGATTTGATTATTTAGAAGAATGCTGAAATTGATGAAAGATATTACCCACATGATTTGAATAGATTGAATGAAACAAAATGGATACATGCATTTGAAGTACTAGGAGATTGAACAATCTCACTTTGACTTGAGGGAAAACTTTTGCAAGGTGGAAATAAAACTAGCAAGGTTTTATGTGTATGAATGAAGAAGTAGACTTGAGATACTGATATTATAAAGGTTTTGTAGCTCCATAAGAAAATATAATTTTAGAAGCAAATGCATTTTAAATGAAATAAAAGGAGATGGAGGGCCCATTAATGACAAATGGATTAAAAAAAAAAAACAAAGGTGGCATGAAGGCTAAAACCAAGGCATGCAACTGTTCATGTAAAAAGATGTAATCTATGGAAAATGTCCGAATCAAACAAGGGAGAAACCAAGAGATACATATAAAACTATACTCTAAATGCAAGGATAGGTTTGACCAAATAGCAGCTTCATAAAAACTTTACAGTGCAAAATCAGTTAAAAACAAACATAATATTGATACTCCAACCAAATGAGAAATGTTTCAAGAAGTTAATTAACAACATCAAAAGTTAAAAAGCGAGATAGCATGAAGAATGAACATTCATATGAATCAGATCTCTATTTGTATCACAAGAAAGCTATTGTACATAATTTACACGCATAACTATCTTCAAACTGTAAGAGTAGCAGTTTCATCCCAAAGGATTAGAGGCAAAGACAGATGCAGATATAATATCGATTGAAAAGCAGAAGGCAAAAGAATTTCAGCATACCAATAAGAAAAAAAATGCAACCAACCATCAGAAGCACCATTAAAAGATTTTGTTATACTGACTAGTGAGAGAATCCCTGAGGTTAGAATAAAGGCCATATAGTGAGTACTGCCGAAGATTCTCCACTTCATACCATGAGTTGAGGGCAGAAAGATGCTTATCTGTCCCAGAAAATGCTAGCTGTATCCCAAGACTGCAATCAACAGACCCTCCATGGTTTTTGCAGCTGTTTGTATTGACAGCACAGTCTTGCTTGTTTAGACACACAAAATTAGATTTTCCAGAACATTGAGCACAGTCATCCCTTTTCCAATACAAGTTTTGCAGCCTGCCTTTCTTAAACTCAAGCATCTGCAGAAACGAAACTATCGTTAATTTCTATAGACTTTTATGAAGGTAAAAACTGATACCATAAAAAAAGAAAAAAAAAAAAAAAACGCATTCCAATTAGTCCCCTTACAAGTGTAAAGCTTGTTACAGAGTATGTACCGTTCGCAACAAAAGCAGGCAGGGATCTTGCAGCATATTTTCGACCAGTAAATGCGACCATATACCCACCAACTGAGTCCTGAAAATATAAAAAATTACAGACATTATAAGTCATATTCACGGGATAGAATTACATATTTGTTACTTCCCAAAGTAGAGGAAGTGCTTCGAATTGCTGGTTTGGCTTGTTAAGAATAAATTTGATATCTTAGGCACTGTTTGGTTGTCACTTTGACTACTTGCTATTTACTTCTAGAAGCAAGTATAATTTCCTCTCAATAACAAAATGCGTGATTTAAACCGGTATTACATTCTAATCATTTTCTCATTTTTATTCAATTAAGATTTTACCATCTATCATTTGCTTTTGTGTAAAAAGCAAACACCAAACGGGACCTTAAAGATCATAGTAAATTTACAAATTACATTAATTCAAATACATGGATCCTCAGATCTCATCATTCCAGAAATTCCATAATTAACATTTTCTAGAAATTATTAAACAAAAAAAAATGATAAAAAAGAAAGAATTGGAGGGGGGGCTAACCGGAGAGAAAGAGGAGGTGTTGATGGTGAGGAGAGAGATCTCATCAACTTTAGGCCTAAAGAGAGCGACACGAGAGTTGGAGTTCGACAGAGAGAGTCGGCGATCGCAAGGAGACAACTGAAGCGGGCTGTTGAAAAAGAACGATTGCCTCGATGCGAACGCGATCCCGAACGTGAACCCGTCCGATACCTGGACTTCAGTGTCCGAACACGGCAAATACGCGTGGTTCGTGTTGTCGCATGATTCCACCAGAAATGACAGCGTCGCCGTCGTCACCAGAAGAAGGAGAAAATAAACCGCCGGTTCCGTCGTTTAAAAAACAGAACCTTTATTATTTTATTTTATTTTTAATTGTATTTTTGCTGGTCCGGTGGACGTGAGCTGGTTGAGGAAGAAGGAAGGAATCGGTGAGAAGTAAAACAAAAAAGGACCTTGGGAAATGGAATGTCAATTCGGCCTGCGTTTTGGGCCACTAAGTAGAAACCGAATTGGATATTTGGCCCATTTATTGGATTGCTTTTGGGCTAAACATTAAACCAATGGGACAGTCCATAAAATTTATGTTTTAGGCCGAAAAACCTACTTGACTTCAGTGGGTGTTTAGGTAAAGGTTTACCAATCCAACTCAATTCTATTTATTAAAGATTTTAAATATAAACATATGTTTTTTGGGGGTACTATTGTGGCTTGGGCAAACCCTTTCTACGCTTTTAAGGCCCATAAAAAGCTTGCCATGTGTAACTTTTTTTGAAAGCCGAGAGAATTTTCATGACCAGTCTTTGGCAGCTTGGCACCATACAACTTTACAAAATGAGCGTTTCACTCGGATTATGGAAGAGCTTATTTAATACGAAAATAGAATCTATATGTTTGGGTAACGAAATTTAATACTTCTTACTTAAACAGAAAAGATATTTGAGATTTTAGATGAAAATATAAATTAAAATTTTTTAAATAAAAGAGGTCAAAATTTAAGAAAAATTAAGGAAAAAAACCTCTTTAAAAATTAAAGATATTAATTTTATTTAAACCCTACAAAAACTTGATTTTTTTAATTTAATAGGAATGAAATGAGTATTAAAATTTTAAGATCGAGAATGGAGATTGATATAATTTTAAATTTTTTTAAATAAAAATAAAATCGTCCCATATCATATATATTTAAATATATTTAATAAATTAATTTGTATTTAATAATGTAACTTTTATTTTAGATTAATTAAAACTAATATATTTGTATTTAAAATATATATTTATAAAAAATTACATAAATATGTAAGATAAAAATTAAAAAATTAAAAATAATTTTTGTTTTTATTCTTCTAAACTATAAAAATTATTCATATCCATTAAATATCCAAAAAAATGGAGATGATGATAATAAATTTAAAATATTTATTGGATAAAAGTATAATATAAAAAATCAAAGATAAGAATGAAGAATGCTATGCACGTCTCATATTCTACTCGTTAACATTCTATTAAAAATTGTTAATTTTAATAACAATTATAAAATAATTTTTTTTACATTCTCATTTCACTCTTCAATAATTTACAAAATTATAAAGGGATCATATTATTTAACATTATTTTTTTATTTTGTTTATCTTTTTATTAGTTTTATTTGTTTTTATTCTGATTAACAAAAATATCTTCAAGTAAAAGTTTCTGATTTTATTTAATAAAATTGGCTACTTTATTTTTGGCATTCTAGTTGATGACTTGATGAAGCCTTAATTGTGATTTTTTGTTCCCTCACTTTTAGCTGTTCTATACTTTATGCTATTGAGAATGAGTAAGAAATTTGAACTTTTCCAACTCAATGAAGCTTTATTAGTGGTAAATTTTTACATAAGATACCATTTAATTATAAGATCAATAGCAAGTTTCAATAATTATTTGTTGTACCCAAAGATTTATTTCAACTAATTTTAAACTCATGCTATGTATGGGCCAAGCTATTTTATTATTTTTTGTTATATATATTATGATTTATAACAAATTAGCATATTTTATTTTGAAACATTATATTTTTATAAAAACAAACTATATTTTCATGATATTTTTGTTGTTAGAAATCTAATTTTAAAAATATAAGTAGTAAATATATACATAATGGTATTCTAAAAACTTAAATCTATGATATATAGATTAGGATTATTAATTTAGTTCATGATTTAATTGGTTATTATTCATCAATCAGATTAAGATTATTGACCATCAAGCAAATTATGAAAAATATTTGTTAAGCGTCACAACATATTTTCTCAAACTTGTATTTAAGATCATTCATTTGTGTAAATTTTTCTTTAACCATTTAACTAAAAAACATTTTCTTGAAATACATTAGTAATTCCTATGTTATAAAGATAGTTTAATCAATATGTCTTCCAAAAAAGAGGTTACAAACTTGAATTCAAACTAACCATTATTAAATTGTCAACAAAATGGATCATAAAATAAGTGAAAGCGATCGACATATTATATTAAAAAAATTATATATTTAACTGGTTCATACAATTCGGATTAATATCATTTTGTTAGAAGTAAAATGCATGCAAACATATTATACATAATAAAAAAGTTATCAAAATAGCAATTTTGCAATCTATACACCTAAATTTTTTAAATAACTCTAAACGTATTTGAAATTTCAAAAATCAAGATAATAATTAATAGCTGAACAAAAAATAAAGATAGCAATTAGAAAGAAAACACTTCATTTTAGAACAATAAATTTTCGAAAGAGATTAGGTAATGTCCAATTCAACAACCAACTACAAAAAAATAAAACCAAATAATCCAAATATCATATTTATGAAATATAATATTATAACGCATAACATATTTAAATTTTAATGCAAAATGCATATTTTAAACTTAAAGAAATCTCTTCTTAAAATGTTTTTTATATAAATAATTATACAACTATGATGAAACTTACATATGAAAGATCTTAACACAAAAAATAACAATAAAAATAATATAAAAACAAATATAGAGTGATAAAAAACTTTGATAGTAATTGACTTTATTAACTTTTGTATATCTAATTCATTCATATATAATATTATAAAGAAAAAAAACAAAACTAAGCTACCTTTATTCTATGGCAAAAAAAGTATCATGAATTTGAAATTTTTTTTTGTAATGATGCAATCTACTTCTTAAGCATCCCAAAAAACTATCACTTATATAGGATAGGTCTTGAAACTAATTATGGAATATTTTGTAACTTTTAAATGATTAATTGATTAAAATAAAATTAAGAATCAAATTAAAAGCAATAATATTTTAAATTAAGAGTAATTTACACTTGATAATTAAAATAGTCAAACATAATGTGTATTTAATGTATTTGGGATAAATGAAAAGAGAAAGGTTTTGAAATTAGTGTAATAATGACAAATGAAATTAATTTAAGGCAAAACTATTAAGCATATTATTTACATGTATAATATAAATTTAATTAAGAGTAATTTAAGATAAATAATAATACAAAATTAAATATAATTAATTTAATTTTTTAAAATAATTCAAATAAAATAAAATACATAACACATAACGATTTTTAAAATCGTTCGCATGTCAATAATATAAGTCATCCTCATTGAAAATTGTCCATTTTCTATCAAAAGCTTTGACTTTTATATATTTATATGAGATATAAGATAGTGCAAATATTCATGTAAAATTTTTTTTTTAACAAAAGAAGTCGCAAAGATTTCTAAGTATTAAAATTTGAATTTCAATTTATTATATATCACCTTTAATTAAAAATTATCGCATAATCTAATTGAATTAATTTTTAATTTTTAAATTTTAAATTCATTTATTCTACTGTTTAAAGAATCATGTTTGAATCTTTCTTTTCTAATTTGTATATTGAATCAAAGAAGAAAAATAATTATATATTGAGCAATGATTCGTACTAAAACTGGATATAGAATGCAACTAGAGAAGGATCAACCATAGAAATGCCAGCCAAATCCAGAGAATGAAACAATTTGGATATGTATGATTACAGAGATAGTTAGCTGCTACCAGCCTGCCTACCAGTTGGATCAGCAGCAGCAGCGGCTCACCTTCTTTTTGTTCATTGACATTCAAAATTCATCAAACAAAAAACAAATAATTAGATGGCTAACATCAATTGGAAAACAAAGGGCAACTATTCCATGATTGATTTATATATAAATGTATGGTTGTTGAGAACTGCTAACAACTTTCCATTTCAATTTCCTAACTTTGAAAGTGAAAATGGGAATTCACAGTAGCAATTGACTCCAAAATTAGAGGTATAAAAAAAATCAGAGAAATTCAAATTTTAATTTAATTGATTCGTATAATCATTTTAAAAAAATAACATTTAACTCGTCAAAAATTTAAATTTGAGTATCGCCCTTTGGCCGATCCCATCCCAAACTGCTACTTTTCTTGTACCAAAACAAATTCTAATATTCCTGTGGGCAGATAAAAGTGGGTTCAGGCTTTCGGTTTACTTCGTTTTTAAAATAAAATAGCAGTAAGCAGCAAGTTCTTTTGCAATGCATGGGATGTGTTTTGCATGAGAGAGAGAGAAAGAAATAAGTTTACTTGAAAGAAATTAAGGCGTTAACACAAATCAAACAAGCGTATACCTGAAGGATAATATTATATCTTACAATCAAAACTGTTGACTTCCAAAAATTTGCAGACAAATACCCCGTAATCAGAATATAATGAATTCACATGTGTTACCACTTGGCCTCTTTCTCTTTCTTTACTTTAAGCATAACAAATACATCTTCCCTTAATTAAAACTTCACCAATTTGCTTCTCTCTCATGTCACAGTTGACTTTTTAAACTTGGAAAGCCACCTCCAAATAACCATTTCTTTGGCCACAGCTATGGCTGACAAAATCACTTTTTTGATCTCCAATCACTTGTTCTCCTTTCATTCTTCCAGGATATCATGAACACCACATCAGATTCTAATCAGGGATTTCTTGGCTCCAACAGCATTGGTGGGTTTGGCTATGGCTTAGGAGTTTCTGTTGGAATCCTCCTGCTTATCACAACCCTCACATTGGCTTCCTACTTTTGCACCAGGAATCATCCACAGCCACAAGCTCCGTCAAGGAGGAATAGACAAGAGCCTGCAATTGACTCCGATAGCTTTGTTGTCGATGTAGGACTCGATGAGGAGACCATAAAAAGCTATCCGAAGCTGCTGTACTCGAAGGCCAAGCTCCAGAAGAAAGATTCTACAGCCACATGCTGCTCCATATGCTTGGCAGATTACAAGAGTAGCGATACACTTAGGCTGCTGCCTGATTGCAACCATCTCTTCCATGTCAAGTGTGTTGACCCCTGGTTGAGGCTGCACCCAACATGTCCACTTTGCAGGACATCTCCAATCCCAACGCCCTTGTCCACGCCTCTAGCTGAGGTGGTTCCCTTGTCAAGCAGGCCTGGTGGTTGATGTGAAGAACTATTATTTGGACTTTTTCTCAATTCCCATCATCATTCAGTCAATGTAAAATTGTTACACGAGCTCTGTCCGTAGTAAAAATTCTTTTTGTTTGTCTTCTTTTCTGTGTGAATTTGGATTGTATTTCTGAACATTCTCTTCTTGTTCACACAAATGCAAGATAGTTGTAGGAAAATTTATGCATAAATTCAATCATAACTCACATACAGAGCCAGGAAAAGATTTTGAAGTATAACCAAAACTGCATTGACTAACAAATTTAGTTGCCGAAGAGATAAATCAGAACATGGAGATCTTAATCTTGCTAATAGCAATCAACAAGTCTTACAAAATTGAGCCTTCACCATATATCCCAATAGCCTGCAGAAGTTTTCTGCAGCAAACTCTTAGCTATTGATTCAACAAAACCTCAATTCTAGTAGCAGAAGTGAAACCATTTGAAGTCCTTTATCCACAATTCCACTTCATAGAAACAATGGATGTAACTATGATATGAAACAAAAAGGGAAATTGAAATCCCACAAAAAGCTTGTTAACAACCGTTTTTCATCCTATATCAGAATCATATCATATGATGTCTATCAGTTAGGTTCAACTTCTAGTATTTGATTAGATTATCTACTAGATCCAACTTAATTTCTTGCTATCCCACTGCAATAAAACTGAATAGCATCCTGATTTATCTCCCCTTCGACACAACATACGCATTCAGATGTGTAAGTTGTTTGCAAAGTTGCTGCACATGGATTATTATTAAAGGATTGTTATTAAATCCAATCATATCTCGCAAATCACAAGAGACAAAGACGTAGGACTCTAGTCTCCAACCAAAAAAAAAAAAATACATGTGCACTAATCGTACAAAGTCCATGGCCATCCTTTTTTTATTCGGCGATGAAGTTAAATCTAATAAATTTATGAAAACTTACTTTCTCGCGACTCCTTAACAGATTTGAATTCAGTAAAAAAAAAAAAAAAAAAACTTTGAGGCAACCAACCATTGCTAATCCATCGACATGTTGCATGTGAGTATTTTGACTTTATAGTAGATGCATGCATCCGATTTTTTGTTTAAAGAGCTGGGACTCATAACGAACGAAAAAAAGAAAAGAAAAGCTCGATTCAGAGTCCCCTTTCTTCAAATTTGAAAAAGAGGTCTTCATTACATATTATTTCTTAAATCACTTAGTATATTATTGAACACTTAAAAATTATATATATAATATTTTTTTCAGTGAAGTAAATAATAAGTAAAAGTTAGATTAAAATTTTCAAAAAAAAAAAAAACGTGTTTATAATTTTGTTCTTACATATCTTATAGCGGCAAATTTTTTATATAAAAAAATAAAAAGCAAATAGCAACCGAGCATAAATGTTGTTTCACCTACATCATTAATACATTATCTAACATTCTTCTTGCATCTTGAACATCGGTTGGCATATTGATGACAATATGGCATCTTTAAGAGGAAAAAAAATGCGAAAAACATTAAATCAGGCGTGCAAATTGCGATGGAAAATTAGATATCAAGGAAATTGTAGAAATTAATGGCCCAAACGCCAAAAGTCAATCATGGCGGTGAAGAGAGTAATACTCAGCGAGTAACATGCCAAAATTTATATATCTATACGTTATATTAGAATTATTTTGGAAGGGATTCGTTTGTCAAATCCAGCCGATCACAGAAAATTTTTTATTTTAAATTGTATAATATAATTTTTATAAACTTAATTATTTATAAATTTATATTATTTATAAACTTAATTAATTATAAATAGATGTATTTAATGTTTATTATATTTAAGTTTAATCTTTTGAGTCTAGAATAATTAGATTCATATTTATTCAATAATATAAATACATATGAATCAAAATTCGGATTATTTCAATCAATACATGATCTTTTGGTGAATTCATATAAACTCTTTAAACATAAATAATAATAATTACAATTGTATTTTCAATTTATTTAAAAGTTTCATTTCAATCCCTTTGTAAAACGATAACTTGTTGATTAAAAATTAAGTTTTTATTTTTAGTTTATACATCAAGAGTTGAACGAATTTATTAATATTAGGTATTATTTTATATTTTTTAAAAAAATATATTATTTATTCGTATGAAAACAAAATTTTTATATTTTTTATTAAATTTCTACTCTACAATAACATTTACCAAATAAAAGTATTTAAGAACTTGAGTAGCAATATATACACGAAGTTTGACAAAGGAGAGTGAAGATATAATTTTTTTATTACAATATTATAACTATTTAATCATAATAAAAAATAATGTAAGAATTTATCATTTATAAATATAAATTTCTTATAAAATTTTGAAAAATTTCACATAATTTTAAATTATCATTAATTAATTATATTACAATCATTGTAAATAATATATTTTCATGGCAAAAAAACTTAAATAAAAAAAATAATGTATGCTACATTCAATTACCAATTGGGGTTAGATACACTAAAATAGCATTTATAATAAATTAATGTTGGAAATGCGTGTTGTATTAGTGAAGATTGAGAGTTAATGCTATTAACCACAAAGGAAGGATTTAACGAATCGGTTTATAAATTATTTAACGGATTTTGCTAATCAATGTGATATTTTTAAAGTTAATTAATACATTTATAATAATTTTATATTTAATGTAATAATTAATAATTTTATTGATTATTTTCAATGCATTGATTAAAAATATTATTTCATATAATAATATCAAAGCGTGTTTTAAAGAAAAGACATTCATTAGCAAATTTCTTACTAATATATTTTAAATAAAAGGAATGTATATGATATAAAATAATCTTTTTATAAAAAAATTAAAAAAAAAAAGATCATGAACACTAAAAATGGGAACAAAATGTAATAAACAAGAATATATAATTTTTATAAAAAATTAGACATACAATTAAATTTAACAAAAAATTTAAATTGAATTTATGCATCATTACTTAAAAAAATATTATTAATAATGAAAACAAAATATAAACTTAAAAAAAAAAATTTAGTTTTTACGAAAAGAATCAGTTTTATCCTTTCCTTTTAAAAATAATAAATAAATACATTTTATTTTACTAAAAAAAATAAATATATACTTAATATAAATAAGAAAGAAAAAGGAAAAGGAAACCTCCATCGTTAAGAAACCAAAAAGTCAACCATAGACACCACTTAAAAAAGAAAAAAAAAACCTTACCTAACGTTCACCGCAAACCAACTGCCAGTCTGGTTCGTCCAATTAACAAATCTTCACAGTACATCATGCTGACCAAAAGAAATCAACGATCCAGATCACTCCTAAAAGTCAAAACAACCGTACGCAATCTCTCTTCCCGTCTCCAAATCTTCCCCGCCAAACACTTCGCCGTACATTTCCAGCACTCCTCTCTCTTCCAAAGCAAATGCAAATCCTGAAAATCTCCGCAATCTAAAAAATATATATTTAAATTATAAAAAACCTAATTTTTATTTTCTCTAAAATCGAAATCAGATGGAGATGATCCTGTGCAACCGGTTCATCGCACCCCTCTTGCTCCTGTCGTTGTGTCTGGTTGTTCCGTTGGCCGTTGCCAGCGACGTTAAATATTGCGGTTAGTCTCTCCAAACCCTAGCCCCACAGCTTAAATTTTTTGAAATTAAATTGATTTTATTGGCTGGAAATTGTATTATTGAATTCCCAAATTATGTTTAGTTTTGTTCAATATGAGAAATTGATTTACTGATATTGTTTTTAATTTTATTTGTGATGAATTAGCTCGCAATAATCGACATTGATTGTGTAATTAAAAAAAAAAAAACCAAAAACAAAAACCCTAATCATAATTTGAGGCTGATTTTTTTTTTTTACTAATGCAGATAAGAAAGCTGAGTATGATGTACAGGTTCAAGGAGTTGAGATTTCGCCTAACCCGATTGCAAGGGGGAAGCCTGCTACCTTTAGTATATCTGCAACTACAGGTAACTAATCAATGTTTTCCCATAATCTTTTTGTTGATTGATATAAAGTGTTGTGATTTGATGCTCGTGACCGTATGTGTTTGTATATAAATCATTGGTTTGTGGGGGTGTCTTGTGGTTCCAGAGCTTGATACCATTTATTATTGGTTAATCATATGATAGATTTGTGTCATGTCCGGTGATTGATAATGGTGATTGTAGCATGCAACCAAAAACAATGGTGTTTTTAGTTTTTGATTGAAGGTGGGTTGTGTTTTTCTATAATGATGTACAGGTGCAGCAATCGCTGGGGGGAAACTGGAGATTGAGGTTTCGTATTTTGGATGGTACATTCACAGTGAGACTCATGACCTTTGTGATGAGACATCTTGCCCTGTTTCTATTGGTGATTTTGTGGTTTCTCACTCACAAGTTTTGCCAGGATATACTCCCCCTGTAAGTCGTAACTTAATTTTTTACTAATCATTGATGAATAGTTGGATTTTTCCTTTTAGATGTTTGTTTGCACCAATGTTATTGCATAAGCAGAATAGCTTAAAAAGGCTTTGTTGCCAACTTATTTGTCTAGTTTTTGCTAAGTTTGCTCCATGTATAGGAATTAAGAGGGATGGAAAGAGGAGTTAAAAGAAAAATACATACATACATACATACATATATATATATATATATATATATATATATATATATAAAGGAAGAGGAGAAAAGCTTATCTTTTCCTTATTTTTTGTTGGAGTAAATAAAAAAAGGCAACAACTAAAAGGATTGAAGATCATAATGCAAATTTGAAAAACTAAAGTCAATGGTTGATCTTTTCCTTCTATTTTGATCTATGCAGAATCCTTTACTTTCTCTTCCCTCGTTGTATTTCCATCTACTAAGCAAATGAAATAATTCAGACTCCCAATATTTTAAGTTTTAACCACCTTTTCCTTCATTCCTTGTATTTTGGTTTTTGCAAGACTTATTTAGTCAGAGTGCAGTCACAGTTCTTTCAGAGTCCCTTTGGAACCAAGCCTTAAAAGATAAAAGTTTCACTTGTTGTTTTCATGTAGAATACTGTTGCATTTAGTTGTTTGTCTCTATCCCAAGCTTGGTTTCGTCAATTATGTTTTATTACAAGCTAACTCATGCAATATATGATTGCTAGTAAGCTTTACTTGCACCTGGCTGGTTCTTGCTGTTTATTCCCACTACTCAACTGTGATTTATGTATATTCCAAAAGCAAAAGAAAATTCGAAATTTCTGTGTGCATAATTTGTTAAAAATGGAACTTTTTTGACAAAGAAACTTGTGAGGGCTGCATTAAATTCCCTAGAAAATAATTGTTACATTACAACCTATGAAGAATAGTGTTATATGTGTTTTACTCATGCCCGTGCTTTAACGATCTGTTAGAAACTAAAAATATTCTGTTATGTGTGATAGCCAACGCTCATTGTTGTCACCACTATTGCATAACTTTTTTTAATTTGCACTGAGGTTGGTTAGGGTTGATTGCATGAGTACCATTGAATGTCTTAATAGAAAACATCATTTGCATTGTTCTAGTCGTGGAACATGATTTTGCTGACCCTTCATTTACTCTTCATATTTTAAGCTAAGAATAAGGTCCCAATTCTCTCTTTTACGGAACTTTGTTAAAGATAATACAAGAGAATGCTATCTTTTCAAGATTTTCACTTGTCCACAACATCTATGACTGATGCTTAATTGTTTATCTATTGAGGTTAGCATTTTGTCTATTGCTCAAATGTCCTCCATCATCTTCATATGTATTTGCTTTTTCTTAAATGACTGTTTGTTGAGAAGTCTCTAGCTTGCTTTTGTTTGTTTGATTGATCAGCAATGAAATTGAACAATGTAATTCCAATTGGCCTGTTGAGGTCAATGACATTATTTAGGTGTGATGTAATAAGGGATTTTCACTTCAATCTACAAAAAGAAATGCCACCATCATTTTTTTGCCCTTTGAATGATACCTCTGACAACTTTTAACCTTATGCAGGGCTCATACACTTTGAAGATGAAGATGCTCGATGCAAACAAGCATGAATTGACATGCATTAGTTTTGATTTTTATATCGGGTTTGCATCATCTGTGGCTGACAGTTAAACATCAGTATGCCTTTTTTTCATCCTTGTAAATTACTCTATATGCTGTATGTTCTGTATAACTTTGCTTATCCCAGTGAGTTCTGACTGGAAAACATTATAGCTATTATGTTGCCTATGGCATAGCGCATTGGTGGATGAAACCATTATCCGGTTCTTAATACAAATTGCCATCCAAATTCCTTAGGATAGTATGATCTAGGTTACCTCAGCGCCATTTCAGCGGGGAAGAACAGCTACTGTTGCCCATCCTAAATGTTGGCTGGAATTACAAAAGCCTAATTTTTGGGTTGAGAAAGGGTTCCTACTTAGTGGTTCAAAATTTAGAATCAAACTCAGTGCAAAGGTGACCACGGGTGCCCTATCAAATGGATTTCTCATTTCCAATTGATTACAATAAAAAAGAGTACAGCGGCCATTGCACGCTTGCCATAAATCATGACCGTTTCTTTCAGCCTCATTTCATGGTTGATATTTGGCTCATGTTTCCTCCCATCATCTTCGTTCATTGATTTCCAGAGCATCATTTGAATGTATAGCACCATGTTCTCAGTAAATGTTGGGCCATAAACTTTACCATAAGCAAATACAAGGAGCAAGTTCAGCTTTGGAATTTAAAGTCTAACTTGATTGATTGATTTCCTAGCACCAATTCGGAAGCATCTTGTTATCATAAATCTTACGGACCATCAACTTTTCAACGTTGATTTTTATTAATAAAGGATAAATACAGAGGATGAATCAACAATCAAAATGACGTAACCCCTAACCCATAAATGTTCCAACCCAAATTCAACAAACCAAAATATCACCCCCAAAAAAAATGCAATTCCACCATAGAGAGTCAGCTAAGTTGTAAGGAATTCAAGAGTTGGAGCTTTAAACTTCACTTAAGCCAATTATCGAACATGAAGTTTTTAAGTTAGCGCGAAAAGAGAATCAAAACTCGATTAAAGGAAACAAGATCAGCCCCATAACAGTAATCAACTCAACAACACATTATATGAACGGCAGTAGAATAAATCAAAGAAAAACCACAACATGAAAAATATCTTTGATCTGTGCCATTACATTAAAGTAGTATTAGGGCCATTATTATTATACTAATGATGACAGGAACACTGTTGTCATTTAAATTCTTCATTTTCTCTTCATACAAATTATTTCCTTCCAGGGAAGAAAAGTAGGGGAGGGGAATGAATGATGCATGTTCTTGCCCTTATGCCATGACGAGGCACCAAAATGTTGGTTATGGGTCAGTGGACTCCAATAGCAAAGGGGTACCCCACTCTCTCAGTTATCATTCAAAACTTTTAAAAGCAACAAACCCACAGCTTTTCAGTTTTCACTTTCCTGCCATTGGAAACCAAAAGAGAAACCCCATCCTCCGATTGTCCTCTCTCCAATATCTGCTCTCTTGTCGTTCTCATTAAAGTTTCACTCCCTTCCATGCTATACCTTCTCAATTCTTTTAAGTGGTGCCATTGCATGTGACAGGATTTCTTGTATGAGATCACTATAAAGAGATGAAAGGCATGAAGGGAAGATTTCTAAAGAAACTCAAATTTATTCCTACTATCAGGACTTTGAAACAAGGCTTAGTCCTTCAGCTTAATCCCCAGCACACCTTCTCTAATCAAAATTGCCATAACCTATCAGTTTACGAGGAGCAAGACTGCAAAAGCAACATTAATCTCCCAGAACCAGTAGTTGATTTTAAAGATCAAAAGGATGAAGAAACGGAATTGGAATCCGAAGTAGGAGACCAAGATAAAGTTACAACCTGCGTAGAGTTCAAGGACATAGTGGCCACGGAGCATAATTCTGATCAGCTTCCAATTTCCTCGGAGATCATTGTCAAGGATGATAGCATACCTGAAGTGAAGGCTGACACTGATGAACACCCATATTTAACAGATTTTGAAGAGAAATGTCCACCAGGTGGAGAAGAGTCAGTGATTTTCTATACAACAAGCTTGAGAGGGGTAAGAAAAACATTTGAAGATTGCAGCAGTATCAGGTTTCTTTTAGACAGTTTCAAGATATTGGTCCATGAGAGAGATGTTTCAATGGACACAGAATTCAGGGAAGAATTATGGAGGATATTGGGTGGCAGAGTGATCCCTCCAAAGCTGTTCATCAAGGGCAGATACATAGGAGGAGCTGATGAAGTTGTTGGACTTCACGAGCAAGGAAAGCTGAAGAAACTCTTGGAAGGGATACCTTCAGGCCTCCCCAACTGCCCCTGTACTGGTTGTGCCAATATGCGGTTCCTGGTTTGCTCAAACTGCAATGGCAGCCGAAAGGTTTATGCAGAAAAGGAAGGTGATGATTTGTGCATGAAATGCCCCGATTGTAATGAGAATGGATTGGTCAAATGCCCTATTTGCTGCTGAAATCTTTACATTCAATAATTTTGTACCCTTCTTTGATGTTGTATATTTTCCTTGCCTTGTCTAACATATTCCTACTTAGAATCAAATTGCTGCAGTTTCAAGTCCCATTCGCAGGTCTCAGATTAATCCATATGGATGAAGAAAATGAAGAACCGCGTATCAATTTCCTTCAACTGATATAACAATGGGCTAAATTATGCAGTCTTTGTTATCAAGATCTGATTTTCTCTTTCATTTCTTTCCTTGATCAGCTTCTGTTACGTCTTTTTCGTGTCACAGGACTTTGAAATTTGTATGGTAGTGCTTGGAAATCGATTTTTGGAATGCTATTGTCACGGTAACATGTTTGATTCTTGTGCTCACTTTCTAAAATTTAGCTTGTTTAATGACCTTTTAACTTTTCCTTTTTCTTTCCTTTTGTCATCTTTTACTTCGTCTTTTTCTTTCTTCATATTAATGCATGTAATGCAAAGGCTTAATTTAACTTCTATCCTTAATTTTAGGATAAAAGTTTTAACAAAGTTGGTATCAATCAATAGCTTAAAAACCAGCATTTTTACTTTCTAAAAGAGTTAGGAGCATTAAAAGACTAAATCAAAATTATTCATATGATTATTTTTAAGATATAATATCCGACAAATTTAAAATTTAAATTTCAACATTTATAATTTTCTTTTTTATCCTCAAATTATCATCTAATTTGTACAATTTAAAAAATAATAATAAATTGGCCATTACTAACCAACTCCTTTTCACTTTCTTTTTTACTTTCTTCTTCCAAAAGTAAAAATAAAGTCAGGTTCTTATCAAACCAAACCTAAATAATTTATGAGCTAAAATGTTTTTAAGATAAAAACAACATTTCTGAATGTTTGGTAATGTGAAATGAACCAAAGAAGCATGGAAAAGGATATGTGGGGTTTGAGAAAAATAGAAGAAACTATCCAAAGTGCTTTGTTGATGGAGGTTGGAAGGTTGACAAATTTTATGTCATCATGTAGATGAGACTGGAATGATTAGTAGGGAAAACTAGGCACATGGCTCTTCCTTAATATGTGGATAAAATTTTAGAGAGGAATCAAAAAGTGATTATACCAAAGAAAAACGTGTTAAACTTAATTTTTTTTTTTTTAGTTCTTAACTTATCTTTAACTTTCTTATCTTATTATATATTTGACTAAAAAATATATTATTATAGACATTCATTTATATATGGAGTTTTCATATTGATTTTATTTTTTGTTACTAGTATTATATTACTATAGTATAGTATATTATATTATAGTGCGATTATATTATATTATATTATGTTATTATTTTTATTATTATTATTATAGTATAGTATATTATATTATTATTTTCTTTCTTTCTCTTTCTTCAATCAGTAGCGAGAATTAAGAAACTAAATTTTCAATCAGCTGAATCAGGGGAATCCAATCTACATAGTCAACCATAATGAAATCAAAGGATTTTTTGTTTAATCTAAAAAAATCAGCAAAAACTTAAACCTAAAATCAAGTTCGGGCATAATTCAATCCCAAGATTCAAGCTTGGATTAGTTTTATCCGATCTTTAAAAACTCTCTTAAAGATGCCTATAAATTGAACAAAAGACCAGAAGAACAAGATAGGAGGATTTGGTGGGAAGAAAGACTCAGTGTTGAGGTTGTAAAAATTTTTTGGGTTTAGTTTCTGGGTTGGAAGAGCCTGGATTTATAGATTCTTAGTTTAGTTTAAAGTTTTCGATTTTTCGTTTTGGCGTACTAGGATTGTGATTTTGGGATTTTTAGATTCGAGGTTGGAATTCTAAAGTTTTTTTTAAAGAATCTAAAAAAAAATCTGGAAAAATCTGGTTTGGGGATCAATTTTTAAATTTTTTTGGTTAAATTTTTTTACAGGGTTTGAGTTTTTCAACCAATTTTTAATCAGTTTTTCAGAAACTAATGAGTTTTTCAATTTTCGGTTGAATGTTTTTATTTTTCCTAAAGTCAGAGAATTTTCAGTTAGAGAAAAATGGGAGCAGGGAGTTTCTGAAGATAAAATGAGGAATTTGGCTTTTATAAGATTTCAAAATGGTGTCATTTTTTAGTGCTTAGATCCGTGTGTAACTCAAATAGGATCCTCACCCAACCCGTGATTCAGCCCAACTCAATCAAATGTTTTTTTTTTTTTTTTTAATTTTAATTTTTGATTTATTTTATATTTTAATTTTTTATTATTTATTTTATCTTACTGATTTTTATTATTTATTTATTTTTATTGAGTAACTTATTATTTATTAAATATTTTGTAAAAATTTCATTTTTATTTATAGAAAACAAAAATAAAAAAATTAAATAAATCTTTTTAAATAAATTTATGAATTTTATCAAATTTTTTGAAAAATTTTCGTGGATTTAAATTTTATAGAATCAATCAAACTATTGAAAATTTTTATAAATATATTTCAAAAAAAATAAAAAAAAAATAAAATTTATCTTACAAAATTATTGGAAGACTGTTTCTTAAATTAAGTCTTACCAAACTATTGAAATTTAATAACTTTCTCAAAAGAATGAAATTTTTATAAATATTTTCAAACAAAATTGAGAGATCTGCCTCAAAATAAATCCTACTAAATTATTGAAAGATTTTTCTAATTTTTTTAAATAAAATATAGTAATAAATCTGATAACAGAGCCTTTTCAGGATAAAATACTAGTTTTCATGAATACTCTTGAAGTAATAGAATTTTCTTAAATTATTATAAAACTATTTAGGTAATTTTAGGATTAAGTTTTAATATTAAATATTGTGGTAAATTACCAACATGTTAAAAGCTTGGATAATTTAAAATCAAACTGATACAATCTTTTAATGGGCATTGTGAATGTGCTATAACCTTCATCACATATAACCGTATTTTCGAACCTAAAATCTGATTTCATGAATTATAATTTACTATTTAAATATATCTAAGTCAATCTTATGACTCTTCTTTAAATATGACAAATTTGATCGACTGACCAATTACACCTAAATCAAAAAAATTGATGATGACTCTCATTAAATCATGTTTAGTAATAGGTCAATGAATCTATACATTATGATAATTATATGTTTAAATTCTCTCGAACTTATAACTTTTAAGTGTTAACCTCAATAAGATATTAACTGATTCAAGGGATAGTTGATAATGTGTGAATTTTAACTTGATTAATTTAAAATTATTTTTAAAAGATGTCATTTAATAATTAGAAAGGATAATTTTATTCACATTTTTTAATTTTTTATATCTTTGTTTTAAATTATTTTTAATTAGAATTATTTAATTATTTTTTTATGCATACCTTCCACTTTTAAGCTTTCAAATTTGTAAGCTTGAATTTTTTATAGTCTTTTGATTAGCAAATTTAAAAATTTTTAAAAATCTTTAAATTTACATATTTGAAAACTTAAAAATTTTTACAGGACAATTTTTTCTTAAATAATTTTTTTTTCAAATCTTAAATATAATTTTTTAATTTATCGGATATGAAAATTTAGTAAATTATATAACTTATTAAATATGTATTTTTGAAAATTTTAAAATTAAAATGAGAAAATAATTAAGTAATTTACTTAAAATTAAAAAAAAAAGTTAGATATGAAAGAAAAAAAATGTTTAGAACCTCTTAAGACATAATTCAAGTTTTAATATATATATATATATATATATATATATTTTTTGTATTCCTAAACTGCAGTATAAAAAAAATTGTGACCGTAGCACCTTACGAATCATTTTCACTAGCAGCTTTACCGTAAAAGAGCAAAGACACAGCTCCCTTCATTTACATAGTCAGCTTTGAGTAATGCTAGTGTTTTCTAAGATTAACGTTTAAAGTTGGAATCCCCTGTTTCCCTTTACTTCTTTATATAAAAATAGCAGTTGACTTGTTAAATTTTATCATTGACATTGCTGACTTCATTTTAACTCGATCTTGGAGTCACTGAATCCTAGCTATATAAGACTAACTGAAATAAATCTAGAATCCATAATTTCTTTATAAATAAAGCAAGTTGAAATGGGAAAGATTTCTTTTTCTTTTTCATTTAATCAATGTCTTGAATCATTGAATCAAAATTGAAAACCCTAACCCAGCATTTTTCTTATAAATAAAATTTGATGCCTTGAAAACTTTCTTTTTCTTTTATGCCGTGTAAAGATTTAAAAAAAAAAAAAAAAGAAGACATAATTTCAAATTTAACTCAATTAATTTATATTGAGATTCTATAAAAAAACAAAAAAAACAAAAAAAAATTGGATAGGACTTAAGATAACTCTTATGTTTAACTGATTGAACTGGATATGAACTTTAAATATATATATATATATAGGGGACTGAATGGGGGTTTAAAGTTGTAACAGGCTTGGGGCCTTACGCTACGTTTATAAACATGCCTGAAATTAGCCCAATATTAAACAATTGTAAGCGACGTTAGCCATCAAAAAGAGTCAAGTAGACAGCTGCTAATTTTACACTTAAAAACAGGTTCATAGTCTCTTAAGCCAAGGACCATGACAGAATTTAACGTCAAATCTTTTTATAATCAAAGCCCTTGTGTTTTAGTTTGCTTTTGGCAAAGCATGCAAATCCCCCCCCGCATGCGCCATTGATTGTCATTCTTTTGAGTAATTTAGCTTTAAAGGCTACACGTTTTAGGATAAAGTCAATCTAATGTCTGTTAGGGCAGGTCAAATTCCTCTCCTTTCCTCGTGGTTATCATTGCCGTTATCCTTGAGTGCAAATAAGGCAAAGGAACTCCATGAAGCTTGTTGACATCTTTGATTAATTCCAAGCAGAGGTTAACCGGAAAAATGAATGTTTGAAGTTTGAACCATTCTAAAAGAATAAAATATATTTAAAAAGGATATATCCTCAACGTGCAGTGTAGGGGTCTTGAAAAGCAAACCTTAGCTCAACATTTGGCATAATAATTCAACTTGGTCACAATGTTATGGCAGATAAAAGCTGTCGAGGGAATCAAAACTGGAACTTCAGAAGGAAAGTTTCTTCTCAAAAAGGACCATACGTTTCAAAGAATCTTGTTCTCTGCCCTCAAGACCAACCTTGAAAAGTTCTGCTTTGCCTTGTGCAGGATACAGCGAATATGATAAGAAAAAAAAAATGGGTTCATGAATTATGTACAGCTACTATTAGATTCTAACTTTAAAAGCACATGCTCTGATCATAGTCATCAGCTTAATCATATGGGAAACTGGAACCAGGCAAATCACGTACAGATCGATTAGATTTTCTTTCACCCTCAGTCTGCAAAAGTACCAAGCGCTGGAACTGTAGAACAGAAGAATATCTTGACAATTGGAAACGGCGTTTGGGGCAAACAAAGTTAAAAGATACAGAAAATTACAGCCAAATGCATGGTAACACGTAAAAAACCTGTTCCCTAGAAAGACAGCAAATGGGAAAGTGAAGCAACTAAAAAATAGGCCAATAGACACAAATTTAACTCAAGGTCCCCAACATACGAGAAAAATAATGTTGTATTTTCGAGCCAACTTAGGAGAAACAGAACTCTATTCGCCAAACTGATTGACAAAAGCTCAAACAGGTTAAACCCCATGCACATCATAAGATACCCATAGTAAAAGAAAGAAAACAAGTTAGAGTAATCACACTTTCCTAGAATTTACAGCAAGTCTCTATGCAGCAACTTCAGTTAATGAAACTTCGACCGACATGGCTGTTGTCATTGGAGTAGCACAAATCTCAGGTATTGGTTGCAAGAACTCGGTATACTGGAATTCAATCTGGAGTCGGTGATGTAGCGGTGTTGATGCCATTAAACCCTTCTTGATGTCTGCCTGCAGCTCCCTAATAGGTATAGCAGCCAAGAAGCTCTTTATATATTCCTTGCAGGACTCTTTTCCGTGGCAAACAACCTCCTCCTCACTGTCCTCACTCTTGATTGATTCCTCAGGTTTGGTTACTACAGCCCCTGCAACAGAACCCTCCTCCTTCCCATTGACCCGTTGAACCTGTGAATTTTTAGGTTCAGCTGCAGCTGTTGCTATCTGCTGATCACCAGCTAACTTATCATCTGATGATTGAGCCACATTTGGTAGCTTGTGAATTACTGTATTTCTGTCAAATTTCAAGATGTAAGCTTGATTGCATCCCTCGTAAAGCCTCTCTCCTAATGTGTCAATGATGTAGTAAGCTTCTGGTTCAACCTTAAGGACAAAAAAATGGTCATTCCAACTAACAATGTAAACCTGAGGTTCAGCACTGTTTGGACATTCTGCAGCAACACGACTAATCTCATCCCAGATGTTATCAAAAGACATTGCACCATGCAAAAAGTCAAACCTTCCCTCGTCCATCCCCTCTGGATGGAAAAACCCAATAAAGGACTTCCTTGGCACTACAGAAAGAGGACGTATTTTTGCTTGGAGAACCGTCTCAAGATCAAAGTGCTTGTCAGGGAATCGCTCCCTATAGGCTTCATTCTCACAGAGGTTCCTCCATTCCAATGACCCTTCTCTGATCAAGCTATCAAATTGAGACTTAATAGGCATTAGGTCACGGTTGTTCTGAAACCAATCAGCAATAACAGCAACAAGAGCCGTACATGCGCTCTGACCAGCTGCTCGTTCACTCCGTTGATCAATAGAAGCAAAAAAGACCTGTGCTTGAAGCTTCATGTGTCCATCACGGCTTACCACTTCTTTCTGTTCCCAACTGCCAATAGCAAAACTATCTTCCCCAAATTCAGAAACCGAGGAACGATTAGCAGATGAATCTTCATCTGTCTTGTGCCACTGCCAAAATAAATGATAGTTTTATTTAGAACTTAATATATTTTACTCAGGTAATAATTGTGAAGAAACAAATAATTGGAGTTGATAATACCACAATATTTCTTAACATATAGCCCAACAAAGGTATTGGAAAAGTAACAGTCATTGAAGAAGGGGACCATTCAAATTAGATGAGATGATTAAACATGTGAATTATTATGTTAACGAATGATATCCAAATCCCCAATCAGATACATATACACATACATCTTTGCAGGTGCATGAATTCATAAGAAAAATCATGTGATAAATTGACAAAACTCAGGACTAATAATAAAAAAATGTCAGTGTCTATGTAATCCGATTAGGCTATGTTAGAGAATTGATGATCAGAAAGAAAATCATAAAAAAAAACTAGGGGGTGCTTTTTCCTTTTCTTCAGTATGATTGCAGACATAGACATTATATGTAAATAAAACTAAAAAGTCAAGAATTTATTCTTACCCCAAGGGAAAGAGATTCATCAGAGCTAAGCTGACGGCGGTCAAAATCAATGTCATCCCCACCTTCTTCCCCATAGGCTTTCTTTAACAATGGTTCCCCTTTCACTTTAGGAGACCTAAAACTCAGCTTCCTTTTTCTCCAAGACAAAATGCTGCGCTTGGAACTCTGCAGCAGGGATGGCTCTGACACTGATGCAGCAGAATCCTCAACATTTGAGCAGCCAACATCAGATTTTCGATTGCTGTAGTATACCCAGTCCTCACCTTCCTCACTGACCCTCATGCTGGAGTAAAATGATCCTCCAGCATAATTTGCATATGCCAAGGTACCATAACTAAAGGACTTCCTGACAGCAGAATCATCCTTTACCTCATCAGATTCTCCTTCCTCAGAGCCGTCAACTGAATCTGTGTCCAATGGATACTCACCATCATCACTCCTGGCAGAACACCTTCCATCACTGCCATCGTCCTCTCGACAGGCTTTTTTCGCTCTCCTGGCAGACACATACTCTGTAAATATTTTCACCTTTCTAAGACCAGCTTTAATTGCAGAAACCTCATCCTTTTCCATTGTGACAGTTTCTCCAGACCGGAGAGGTGATGCAACAGGCACTAACGCTGTCTGTACTGGCTCGATGGTTTCTTGAGCAGTTCTTAATTCCAACATGCTAAGTGATATCTACATGATGAATGAAAACTTAAAATTAGAATGTCTAAACCCTAAAGAAAACTGATTAATAACATAGTAGAGTTCTGAATTATAAATTTTAGAAGGCACATACGCAGAGTTGGGGACCAGGCTCAGCAGCGCCAGTAGAGAGTGCGAGAGGTATGTTTAACTCAAACTCTTTCTGGTCAGCAGCAGAAGCATATTCAGCAAGATTCAATGAGGCTGTCCCAAGAACAGGAAACTTGTTCTTTTGTCCCTGGTTCAAGCCCTGTATCAAGAAAGATAACTTCTTGAAACCAAAACTAGTAGAATATTGACAAAAATAAGACTACAAAAATATAATGATAAACAAGTTCTGGAGGTAAAAATCCATTTGCCTCCCATGATCAGCATGAAAAGAGAAAACTAATCTGCCATGGTTTCTACCTATTTTGTTTAATAAACCTAAACCACCCAAAAAGTTCCAATATTTTCTATGGAATGAAATTAGCAATCCTTCAAAATATCAACCAACTCTCAACAGTCAACTGACTCAAAGAAACAAGACAACCAGTCTAATTATCTTGAAAAGATATTCAATTCAACCAAATTAATAGTACAAATGATTCTAAACTAAATCCAATCTTATGAATTTGTACAAAACATAGATCAGTTCAGAAAATCTTCATCCAAATTTCAGACCAATCAGACAACCAAAATAACAGACCCATGAAAATGCAGAAAACATAATAAAAATTCATAGAAATAAACAAAAAAAAATCCCTACAAATCCAATAAATTTTAAACACCCAAAACCCAAAAGGCCAACACTTTGAAAGCCTAAACCCATAAAATTCTCAACAATTTTATTATTTAAAAAAATGAAAGAAAAACTTAATTTTCTAAAAACCCAGAAAAATAAAAAATAAAAATAAAAAAGATAACAAAAAAGAAATTTGTTCTCGTGAGACTTACATTCAAGACAGAGAAAGCGATCTCCCAAGGATGAAACACATTCTCTTTATAAGCCGACAAGCTACAAAGGGTTTGAAACTCCTCATCCCATACAACGACGCCGTTCTCGTCAACGCTGTCGACTACTTTGGTGAAATTCCTCTTAACCGTTCGCCTTAAAGAACTGAGGGAAGCCTTTGGGCCTTTCCATCGAATCTCGACCGATAGTTGCTCCGGCTTCTCCCCACCTTCCCCTACCAGATCCCACCCTTCTAAACTTCTTACAATTAACTTCACCTCGTACTTTTTTGAAACCAGAGGCGGCCATGGCCGCCACCTCATCATCTTTACCACCATTTTCAAACAAAAAACCCAGAATAAAAAACAACCTTATATGCCTCGAATTGTTAATATTCTCGAAAAACCCAAAGAAACTCAGAAATTCTATTTCTTTCTTTCTGGGTTTTTTTACAAAAAATAAACCGAAAAAAAGACGAAAAGAAAGAAACAATCTTGGGATTCTTGAATTAAAATATAGAAGAAAAGAAAACAAGAAAAGGGCAGATAATCAAAGGGATCAAAAATGGAGGATTAATTGTTAGAAGGGGAATTGATTTGATTTTGAAGAACCAAAAAATAAAAGAAAACCTCTTGGGACAAAGACAGAAGGGGAAGGGTGCTTTTATAATATAAATTTAGAATGATAAAGGGCGAGAAAAAGAAAAGGAAAAAGAGAGAGTGAACGTTGAAAGGTGAATGAAGATTGACGAATACAGAGAGAGAGAGAGAGAGAGAGAGATATAGAGAGGGCTTCAGGCTTAGGGGTTAAAAGGTTAACTAGAGTTACAGGAGAGGGAGACAGAGACAAAGGGTTCAACTTTAAAGCGAGTAAACCAAAGAGAGAGAGAGAGAGAAAGAAAGACAGGTAGTGAGAGGTATTCTTGTGGCATCGTCGGGTGGCCGGATGTAACGGCGTAATAACGAGGTAGTTGACCTCCGTTTTTCTTTCGTCGTTGGATTTTGGTTTTGGTTTTTTATTTTAGAGGAGACTCCATTTTATCCAAACCACCTTTTTATCCGCTTTGGCTTTTGTTTTTCCTTTTATGCCCTTGTATTGTTTATTTAATTCTTTAATTTATTCTTTTTATATCTCCTTTTTGTTTTTTTTTTCAATTTTTTTATTGATAATATTGATAGTATTTTTTTAAATAGCTATTATTATTATTTTGGTAATCATAAAAATCAATTTTTTTTATCAACAAGCTTTATCGAAACTTTAAAATTCAAATTCCATTCTTAGAATCACCATTTGAGTTTTGCTTATCTGGTTGTATACAAGCTTTAATTAATTTATTTTTTTAATTTAAATTATTATTTTATATAATATGTAAATACTTTACTATGGTTTCAAATATTCAAAAAATATTATTATTGTGATTTTTAAAAAATCTTATGTACGAAGAAATAATATTTTTTTTCAAATTAAACTATATATATTGCTTATAAGATAAGTGTTTGACATATAATTTTATAATATTTTTTATATAAATTTGCAAAAAAAAAAACACTAAAGTCTGATTTTTTTTATTTAAAAAAGTAAGGCACAACTATAAATTTTTGTAGAGGATTACACGTGGTGCTAAATGTGAACAGCTAGACGTGAACATGTGCATTCATAATATTTCCATTATATTAAGACTTAATCAGCATTATGTTCACACTATTAGTATGCTTAAAATATTTGCATATAATTTGACATTCTAATGAATAATCTATGAACATAAAAAAATATAATATTATTCAAAATAATTAAAGGATTATTATTACCACTAATAATTATTAAAGATTTTTATATAAAGGAGATCACAATTTGAGATAAAAATGTTTATAAATATTGAAATTTAAAATTCAAAACTTACTAAATATTATATTTTAAAAATAATTATAAAAATCAACTGAATTAAACTTAAATTTTAATTATCAAAGAATATATTCTATACCTTGTTATAGAATGTAGTGTTGGTTCTAAAAAAATCATAAAATATTAGAAAATCAATGTTATGGAATATCAAATTATAAGGAGGCTCTTAAAAAATTTAAAAAAAATTACAAAAAGAAAATTATTTACTTAAGTGAAGAACATTGAAATGATAGGAAAAGAATAATCTAAAATTTAATTTACTTAATTTATGTAATTATTTTTAAAATATAATAATTAATAAATTTAATATTTAGTATTTAATATTTGTAATCTCTTTTATTATTTCTAGATTTATATCTCATTCATGAAAACAAAATAAGAAGAGAAAAAGGGAGCATGGTAAATGTGTATTGGACATGATTTTTTACTAAAAATGCTAAAACTTTGTGAGCCTATCCTTCACTGTCTTCAAAAAAAATCCCATTTTCAGTCGGACAATAATTTGGCTAAGAGATTCTCTTTTATTTTTTCTATAAGAGACAAGAGTGGCTCATAAGATTGTGAAGAAACAGTTCCCTTCTTTTGCTTTTGGAGAGTTATAAACAAATCTGAATTTATGTATGGCTGGTACATGTTTGGAATCTTTCAACTGGAGAGACCAACAATGGCTGTTATTCTCTAAATATATTTCCTCAAACTTCAATTTTAATTCATTGAAGCTTACCGGAATATTTTTATATCAAGATTCCAATTTTGGGTCATAAAACTAGTAGTACCCAAAAAATTTTCCTAATTTAAACATTAAGTATCCATTCGGAGTTGGATTAAAACTTATATATATATAATGAATATAATTTATAAAAAAAATTGATTCGAAATTAAACCATTTGACTTTGCTTGTGCACCACACGTGTGCCATGTGATATTTTGCTTAAGAGGGTGGGTAGGCATAAATCCTCTTCCATCTCCATTTTTGGAGGAAAATGTTAAAAAATATTACATTTATTTTTCGATATTTTTTTATTATTTTATACATAACTTGTTAAGATCATAATCTTGATATTGTGTTTACCATAAACACGAAAAAAATTTACATTCGATATTTGATTTTAATTATAGATTATGCTATTGTGAGTCAAATGATAAACATAAGAAGGTATGAACATAATAAATAATTATTTAAATTATGCTTCTTTGAATAGGTAATATGACATTTTTTTCTTTAATCAAACAACGTAAGGACATGTCCTACGGCTTTACAGCTTGGGTTTTGAAAATGGTTGGAGTTGTTTAGAGCCTTGGAAGTTGGGCAAGTGATTTTGATTGTTGGGGTTGCAACTTGAGATAGCTTCAACATTTGATAGCCTCAAAACAAGTTCTAAATGATTATTATATGGCCATTGATGATGATGATAAAAGATTAGGTCATAGGCTTAATATGTGGGATTCATTTCATAATTAATTATAACTGAGCAGCTAAGGTTAGACAAACTTTCCGTATTCATATATATATATATATATATTTAAAATCAAAATCTTGCTCCTATCTAGGGTTATGGTTTAAATTTTAGGGTTTTTAGATGCATGGGACATGCCATTTAGAGAGTAAGCTATAAAAGAAGTAAAGAATAGTCCAATTTGAATGAGAATATACCCTTTGGATGATGAGATAATGTAAATCAAATTTTTTGTGGCTAGGAGAATATGATTTTTTTTATATTTGAAATTATAAAAATTTAAATTATTATTAAAATTAAAAATTTAACATTTTACTGTAAGTCGCGTAATGATAAAAGTTGACGGAAGATTTAATATTTACTCTTACATTAACCTATAGTTTGTTGCTATGTTAAATTTAAAATTTAGAGATAATAATTTTGTTCAATTGAAGGTTCCTACATCATTTGTCTCATTTGTCCTTGTAGGGAATGAGAGAAACTTTAAGCAAAGACTGATGGATATAATAATTTGGTGTGAATTACAATGTTGGTGCCTAACTATCTTCTTGTTCATGAAAAATGTGGTGACAACTACATCAACATAGCTTTTATTAAATAATAATAAATCTTGTATTAAGAAGTTTCTATGATTTTTTTAAATTTTTTATTAATTTTAATTTCTTTGTTATTTTCACCTAAATAGCTAAAGTTACTAGTGCTAAGATCTTGAAGCTTTCCATGTAAAAAAAAAAAAAAAGATGTCACATTAATATTAAATAATTACATAGTGAAATTGACCTTTACAAAGTAAACTTAAAACTAAGTGGGGGATTTATTAAATGATTGTATGGCTAATGAATTTATTAAACTTAAACCCCAACAACACTTCAAACTTCCTTCAATCCACCAAAATTTGAACCCAAGATTTTAAATTATAATTTTTCTCGAAGATTTAATATTTTGTGTTACTATGATTATACACATCATATAGTTGCCCATTTTATGATTTTTTTTTTCTTTTATAAACACGAGAGACAAAGAGATTGACTTTTTGAATCATGATCTAATTTATAATAAAGAGAGAGAACCAAATTTAACTTATTAAATACATTTTTTAAGACTAATTAACTTGTGCAAAATTTTCTTCTTTCTCATCAAGAAGCTAACTATATAGACCCATTGTCCACTACTTTTAGGCAAAAACCTAAACCCAATTTTGACATTTTTGGATGATTTAATATCCAACATGCAATTTTTCACCACAAGAGGCAAATTGATGGTTCCCCACCACCACCACCACCATCTGTCAAGCATCAAGAAAATGTGCTCAATTCTCTTTTTAATTATTAAATCATATATATAAAAACATCTCCATCACAATAGGTATAGGTAGCCATAATTCCAAGCCTTTAAGACTATGACATAAACATTTTTCCCCACTAAAGAAAATTTCCATTGATTTTTATAACCTAAAAAGGAAAATTTCCATTGATTTTTATATCCCAAAACCATGAAACTTTATTATATTAATATCATATATAAATATATATTGTCAAATTTGCAAATATTATTTTTATAAATTTTATAATTTTATTAAAAATAATGATCAAAATTAGATTTATTTGATCCAAAAATTGAATAAAGGACAAACAAAATAAGATGGAAAGAGACAAAACATTATATTTTTGTTTGGGTTATAAAAAATTCTAAAAGTAATACTATTGTTTAGCATGATGAAAAGGTACGAAATATAATAAATTATATATTTATCAATTTATTATCAAGTAGCTATCATAGAAAACGACTCCTGATAATTGTCCCAATAAATCCACTGAAAAAGGGAAAAATTAAAAAAAAAAAAATGTGTGCTGTATGCAAGCTTAAATTTCAACGGTCAAGGCTGTCATGTTCATGTTACATTGTTTGAAACGATCCTCGTCCAATTTCATTGGGAGCAACTCTGAATTTATGGTCTTTGCATATTTATTATATAAAAAAGCAACAATTGTTTATTAATTTATATATATTTTTATACCAAAAAATTTAGATTTTTAATATTAGAATAAACTGTTAACTCGATTAAAAATTATGAATTCATTTAATTTTTTAATTTATAAATCACTTAACAATGAAAAATGTATCCAACATTCACTCCTTACCACTTCTATATACCTTCGTTGTCATATATTCATTTATAATTTTTGGCATTAAACAATTCCCATATTTGAATTGGATAATTATTAGTAAATTAAATATGAAGAAATATTCCCATAAATATTTGTGAATATAGGACTGATTGGAAATTGCCAAAAATATATTTTCTTTTTATCTTGGAATTCCCTATGAATAAGAAATTAACATGGAATTTAATGTTTAATTACTATATATAACGCTTGACAGTTAATTTTTTATTATTAATGTTTGGATTTGAGGGTGGAGGAGAAGAAAGTAATGAGGCATTTGAATGATTTTTTAATGTGAATCACTAGAAAAAGAGTGTTATGATGAAACTTGACTTTTTTTTTTTAATTTTTTTATCTTCCCACCAAGCAAGGCAAAGTAGGTAGAAAATTTTTCATAACATTTTTTTATTCGAATAATTCTCTTAAATATGTAAAAATATAAACATTTACCAATAATTTTGGATAGAGAGAAACTGCAATATTAAGAATTTC